TAAATTAATAAGTAATCAATCAACGACAGCTTGTTATATTTGAAAGTTGTTTTGAAGAATAGTTGACCTATAAAATGATAATGTACTGGGTGGCTGTACATTGTCTCGTACATTTTTTTCCTATTTTGATTTGTGGCAAAGTGGAACCAGTTTTCCCATCCCAGTTCAAGTGACAGTAAATATCAACAAAAAAGTCCAAGTAACGTAACACATTTTGGTTATGTTAACCAGTGTTAAAAAACAGCTTACTGGTCAGTTGATTGTCTGCTGACGTAGGGCAAGACAGTATTTCAGTTGTCTGATAAAAATATACAGATTTTTATACATCGCAAAGTTCCCCGAAAATAATATCTGTCCTGAGAATTATTCCAATGGTAAACAAAGATTGTAAAGTTGTCACAAATCGAGAATCGTGTTTTTTTTTTGTAGATTCATGATTTTATCACAACTAACCAGTGTAAGATGAAAGTATTTGTGTACATAGACCACATGCTAACGCTAATAGTATTAGTAGTCATTTATGAACTGATCAGTTATTATTATAGTTTAGTTAGTTGGATGTTACTTATTAAGAGATTGGATGTCTAGTTAAAGCATACAAAAATGGATGTCCATACGATGTGTTTGTCCTACTAACGAATATTATTATTCAAAAATGAGTTAAACTGATTCATTTAAGATGAATTCAGTCGAAATAATTATATAGTGACTGAAAAAGTCACCATAATCGCTTACGGTTAGATCCTGGGTAAGTTTGAGGATGTGCCGTATTAAAAATTCTCTAACTTTGAATAAACTTGTCTAAATCCTCTTGAGTCCCAAATGATTTTTCAGCGACTGTTGGCTTGTGACATAAATATATGTCAAGATGGATGAAGATGTATGAAGTTGAACATCGTTATACGAAAAAATGTTATGCAACTAAAGATATAATGATGCACATTTCTGATTTCAGAGTTAACTTATAAAAGATTCAGCTATTTACATGGTCATGGATTTTCTCAAATCTTCAGATTTTAATAAATAAAACGAAATGTTGGATTTACGACTTTCTGCTGATTCGTATTTGTAGCAAAGTTTAAGAATCATAGACCGAGTTGTTTAAAATAAGTATATTATTTATATAATGATAATAATAATCATTATTATTATAATTATGATTATAATAATTGGGATTTTGGGCTTGAGGCCTGTAAAAGATATGAAATAGGATTGATGGATGGAAGGTTCGGTCGTAATACTTTGAAGCTATTGAATAAATTCAATGATTTAAACAATAGCGACATGACCGAGATGTGAGTTAACGATTGGAGTAAAATCAATTACAGGATAAGACAGAAGTAAGGTTCAAATCACTAGCGCCTTAAAGTTTACTTCACGCTAATAAATACCTATTAAGTGACTCCACTGACGCAATAGATTAGTGAATTTTATTATATTTTTAGACTGACTAGCAATGCGATGCTGCCTTCTCAGAATGGAAGGAAAGGTTGATCCTAAAAACGTCACATCTCACAGATTCCCGGTCAGGCCACTTAAAGAGTGGAGCTGGAATTTAAAAAACTCCATAGACCGGCCTCAAGCGGTTTTCATTTGGGCTCTGCGGTCGCGCTTCCAGGTTGCTCAGATCAATGCTAATACTATCTTTTTTCATGTTCCTCAAGAAGTACCTTTCATGGTGTGGGCAGCCGGGAAGTGAAAACCACCCCCATACACGTAAAAGCACACGAGACCGAATCGGTCACAATCGAATCTTTCCTACACCTCTTATTAACTTTCTTATCTCCAAAACCAACCCTTCTCACATTACTTTACCACCCCGCTGATGTAACAGATTCAAATACACGAAACATTATCCCTGGCCTCCAGAAATCTCTCCATAAAATACCTGCTGCAGCTCTCAATGTTCGAGAATCTTGTGACCAATTAGACAACAGACTTCATTAGCTCAAACTTTAGAGTCTCTGAAACGCGTATGCAAGATCCGAGTGAAGTCTTTTATTTGACCTCTCCTTGTCAAGATAAAGAACCGTCTTGATTTACCCTTCGTTAATATGGAAGCCCCCAGCGGAGATACAGAAGGCTCGGATGGATTTTGCAAAATTGCGTCATTTATGGAGTAGACGAGATATCCGTTTACTAACCAAAGGACGAGTCTTATGCGCAGCAGTTCTCTCCGTCCTACTATGTAGGTGTGAAACATGGCCACTAAAAATATAGAATATTTGTAGGTTGCTAGTGTTCGATCGTAAGTGTCTTCGAAGCTTGCCCGTATATCCTGGGATAATCGAGTAAGCAATGGTGGTGTTAGGTAAAGGGTACTGGGTAAGGATGGCAGGTCAATTGATGAGGTAGTGATTCTTCATCAGTTGAGATGGTTCAGACATGTATTGCGTATGCCCAACCACTGACTACCTCGACGAGCAATATTTTGTGGTGTAGAAGTAGGTTGGAAGAAAACTGGCGGTGGTCAAGCCAAAACATGGCAAAAATCCATGAAATCACTGGCAACTGATAACATAGTCCTACTTGGTGAAGACGCTGACAAAATGCAAAGTCTTCTGACCACCCTAAACAACAATGCAAGCATATTCAGGATGCGGTTTCCACCCCCTCGAAATGTAAATTGTTACTTCAAGATTTGGTTGCATCGGCACCTAAACTAGTGATAGCGAGTGAAGTAGTCGAACGTGTCGACCTTTCCACTTTTCTTAGGAGTCTCATCAGTGATGATGGCCTGGTGATTGACGAAATCTCAGCACGGATACAGAAGGCTCGACTGGCTTTTGCCAACCTGCGTCATTTATGGTGTAGGCGAGATATTCGTTTGGTAACCATAGGACGAGTGTACTGCTCAGCACTTCGCTCCGTCCTACTATACGGATACGAAACATGGCCGATGAGAGTAGAGGACATTCGTAGATTGCTTATCTTCGATCATCAGTGTCTCCGAAGCATTTCTCGAGCATCGTTGGAAAACCGTACAAGCAATGCTGTCGTTAGGAGACGAGTTCTAGGTAGGCAAGGCAAATCAATAGATGAAGTAGTGAAACTTCATCAGTTGAGGTGGTTGGGACATGTGTTACGTATGGCTGGCCACCGTCTGCCACGACGAGTTATGTTTTGCAACGTAGGAGTAGATTGGAAGAAAGCTAGGGGCGGTCAAACCAAAACATGGCGGAAGTCCATGAAGTCACTGACAACTGGACTGACTCATGTTGGTAGATGTAGGCTACCTGTTTGGGGTCCGCGAGATGATTGTCACCAGTGGTTAGAGACTTTGTATGATATGACGCAAGATCGCTTGCGATGGCGCAGGTGCATCCACTCTTTGTGTTCTATGGGTTTCTAAGCTTCCACATTCCTCATAATCTCTACCTTTTTCCTTCTAAATTTATCTCACTGAATTATACTTCTCGAACCATATCTTCGCTCCCTAATCTTCTCCATTACTGCTAATACTTCTATTATTGCTATCACTCTTGGATTTGAACTGACAGTTGCGTCTCTGTGCTGATGGGGCATGGCAACCTGAACTGACCTACTTACGTACGAAGTTCTGCGTTTTATCTGTCAGTCTGTCTATGCCCAACCACTGACTGCCTCGACGAGCAATGTTTTGTGATGTAGAAGAAGGTTGGAAGAATACTAGCGGTAGTCAAGCCAAAATATGGCATAAATCCATGAAGTCACTGACAACTGAACTAAGCCATGTTAGTAAATGTAGACTACCAGGTTGGGGTCCGCGAGACGATAGTAACCGATGGTTAGACACTTTGAATGATATGACGCAATTTCGCTTGCAATGGCGCAGGTGCATCTATTTTTGTCTTCTCTCAAATTCTAGTCTTTTGAATTCCTCATCACCTTTTTTATATTGATTTCTCTAGGGTTTACTTCTCAAACGGTACTTCCGATCACTAATATTTTTGATTACAGCTACATCTGCTGCCATGTGATTTGAATAGACAATCCGATCTCTGAGCTAATGTGGTATGGCAACTTGAAATGATGAACGTACGTACGGAGTTTCATGTTGTCGCTGACTGGCTTTCACTATTAATATGCTATTTTGAAATTATTTAGATGCGAAAACGATTGATTGTACGGAACACTATCATGGATCACTCATAGCTGCATCGAGTCACTAAGAGCAAAGTAGGTTTGAATATTTCGAAATTTTCACGTCTAAGATTAGAGGTAAGTATATGGAGGTGTACATTCGACAGTTGAAAAGATGAATAATGTAATCTCTTGAGTAAACACGTATATATCTAATGAAAATTACACTCTTCTATGCAGCAAACCCCCTAAATAAGTAAAATCCTGAATAATGCAATTTTATTAAACATCGGAAAAGGATGGTTGCCATAATATATTGACTTGTATTCGAAATTGAACAGAAAAAACTAATTAATTGTTAGTTCATGTATAGTTTGTATTTACGTGTTAGGGGGACCTGATTAAAGGGTCTGGGCCGTCTAGTTTCCAACTGTGTAAATAACGCGATTTAACTTTTTTGAACTGAATGATTACAGGTGTTAATCGAATGGACTCAAGTGTCATCAAAAAGGTGGTACAAACACTCCAGCTGTTAGTACATTTTCACTCTTATATATCCTTTGATAAAACAAGAGGTAAATATATTGGGATTCAAGCACCTTATATATGATGAATGGGAAAATAGTCGTAGAATTCCTTACTGTATAAAGCTACTATTTTATCAGTTATTTTTACTACACAGCTTTAACGCGTATTCGCGAACGTTAAAACGAACTAAAATCCGATGATTTGACTTCAATTTATCATTTCATTTGTTAATCGTAAGAACAAACAAACATTAAAATAATTGACTGTTACTACAAGTTTGTCTTAAACACTACACTGTATCATTGACAGTTTTCCAATTATTTCAATAAAGTTTGAATATAACTGAAGCCGTCAAGCAAATAGAAGAAAACAATCAGTAAGAATAAATGTTTATTTTGTCAGAAAAAAGTGCGAAATAGATGCACCTCAAACAAAAAAGGGAATGAAGTAAGAACTAACCTGTACAAATATATATATATATATATATATATATATATATGCTGTGATAAAACAAGTGTTGATAACAATAGTAATATGATAGTGATTGTATTATCATTGTAGAAAAACAAGCCCATCACAGTACAGCAGATAATAAATATTTCGCCTACTTGAAGTAACATTAGTATTAGTTAGTAATTGATAAGAATTGAGTGTGGAAAAGAAAGTAATCGGTAAGTTATTTACGTAAATATACATGAGCACATCATTCGTTAACCGAAGTAAAAAGGAGGTTTTGAATTTCAATAGAACAAAAAGTGGATAGAGAGCAACATTTAGGGAGAGAAAGAGACAGTACCAGCTATTGATAGAAAATACGGTCATAAAGAAAAGAGAAAGAAGTACTCACATTAAAAAAAAAATCGTTGAACCTTTGGCACTTGTCATCAAATGATAACATTAATTTAAAACTAAAGAATTATGCACAGATAGTGTACAATCGAGCATACACTATGTATAACGAAGTAGTTAATGATAAAATTTGGTAATACAATTACATTAATTCAATTAAACCGGTTGTCAATTAGAAATAGACAGATAAAACTTGAGCATCTTATACATGAAACAATAATTATGTAAACAATATGTGTTAAAAAGCTTTTTGTAGCGGTTGTTGTGGTTGTTGAATAAATTACAACGTTAATTTTTGTTTCTAGAAATTTCAGAAAATATGCTTTTCGTCTATACAGTGTTGAGTTGTTGTATTTTCATCAAATGGATTGGATAATAGTGTGAGGCACTCAAAAATTGTAGGCGAAGATTCAAGATTAGCAAAGGCTAAATCACACAAAAGATTTTCACAAGAACTTACATAACTGAAATTAAAATGCAGTAAGATATAAACATTAAGTTAGTGAAATCAAATAATTAGTTATATCAATCTTGAAAAAAAGAATGACTAATTTACTTCAATCGGCAGTAGTTTGTATCACAAATCAAAGTCAGATAAACAGTTACTGAAAAGCGTGCGATCAAAAGATGTTTTTTCTGAGTTTGCCTAGGTTGAGAACTAGTACAACTATGCATTAGTCCAAGTTGCCATTATTTACGTCAAAATAGTAAGAAAGTTATTAAACTGAAAAGAAAGGGAGTCGACAGGTAGTGAAACATGTAACACAGAATATAAATTGATGAGAACGGAGAGGGTCTTCAAACCAAATATTACGATAATCTCACAAATTTATGGCTTAAAACCTAATTTGGTTGCCTTTAGTATCCTCCCGACCTACTAAATGTTAACAAACTTAGCGCATTTGATTACGCAGCAGCTAGTTTATGTGTTACAGTGTTATCGAATTACTTACCGTTTCCACCTCTATGATGAGTGTACACAATAAGTTAATAATGATATATTTGAATTTTTTTCGTTACTTAATAAAAGCAAAACTGTGACTCAACTGAGATGAATATGTTGAACATTTAGTGTGAAAAGTACGAGATTATGGATTAGGCTAAGTGAGAAGTCATTAAAACGATACATTGCTGTCGAACCGAAATGAGAGTGGGGTTTAGATACATATGTTCATAACTATTAAACCACCGATTTAATACGGAATTGGATTATATGAAGGTCGATACTATATGATTTATTACGAATTATGTATACAAAATACGGTAAACAAATGTTCTTTTTAATCAAAAACGTGTTTTTTTGGCATACCTGACTACGTTGCACCAAGTGCAACATGAGATAAAACATGTATAAAATGCCGACTACCTCCGACAACTTAACCTAATGAGCATAGATGCTATAAATTCTGTAAACTAAAACTCACTTTTTACACTAACATACTGTGACAAAACTTTGCTTATCACAAAAGTAGTACTATGTTAATTATCAAAGTAAATTATTAACGAAAACTAGACACATGAATTGTGTGTAGTGATACGACGTGTTTTTCTTTTTACCATACTCGGTATTAGAAAAATAGCGAATACCTGTTTGATGAATGTTTCTGATAAATAGTAGTTTTTTAAAATAACATACCGTCGTGCAAAATCACTATATTGTAGTAAGTTTCTTAAAGTTAAAGCCGCAGTAAGTCGGAGATGTTTGGTTACAGGTCCTTCGTGAACTGGTGTAGGTGCGAATGGTGGATTAGGAATTCCTCCGGTCAAAGCTCTACGACACTCTTCTGACAAAGTATTTAAAAATCGTAATTCATCATACACGAACGGCTTTTCGATTTGACACGAGGAATGACTTGAGGTTTCTTTTGCAGTTGTTTCAAAATTTGTTCGAGAACAATTTGATTGATTCGCGTGTACTGCATCAGACATAATGCTATCATTATCGGATAAACAATTCAGTGCAGATTCCATACTAACAGATAATTGAAATTTGTGTTTAGAATGCAAATGATCCAGTAGTATATCAAAACCGGAATTTGATATCACTTCAGAACAGTCCCCCCAAACACATTTAATCTAAGAAACGAAAAAAATCACAAGAAAAATATTAAACCGAGCTTATAAGTATGAATCATTACAATAGATAAGCAACAATAAAATATTTAATTTGATTCGAAACAATTAGTCCTAAAAACTAAGTCGAATTTCCCTGGAAATATGAAAGATGATGGAAACGGTCGACTATTACTGAAGTTTTTTCTTATATTGATTGGCGAGTACTTTTGGTTGGTATTTATGAGTGAAGATAACTAAAAAATATCGATCGCCAATGTACACCATATACACCATACAAAGGAGTCCATGTGACTATTCTAGCTAATGGTTAGAGAAGTTGGATGAAATATTTTCGAACTGTTTGCGATGGTGCAGATACACTTAATTTTTGCCTTAGGTACTAAGGTTTTTAATTATTTTAGGTTTCTTTCATTCCATAAGTCAATATTTTCTCTACGAATCATTTATAATATTTTCTAATAACGCTGATACTATTGCTACGAATGCCAGTCTGGCATCATACAGTGCTGTAGCAACTTGAATCGATGCATTCAGTAGGATTCTAATTGGTGTATAACTGACTAACCGACAGACAGTAAATATGAATGTATTTGAGTTCACAATAACGAAGAGTTGCTTGAGATGCCTTCAAATGAAAGTCGCAAAGTCAGATACATTACCACAGAAAAAAATAATACAAGTGATCAAATATAAACGATGATTTAATGACTTAGGGACTTGCCTGATCTGAATTTCGAATAGATTCGTAATGAACATTTCGAAAGTGCTTCCAAAGTTCAACAGAATCTGCAAATACTTGCATACACGTATCCCACATACAGAATAATTGTACACAATTACCACGACAATTGGAAATGCCATTTGTATAGTTTTCTGAAATAATCGAGTCGTCTAATCGCTTTGTCGATTTGCACCTACAATCTGATGAAGTAGAGGATACGCTACTTGGTGCGACAAAATCGACTTCACTTTTAGAAATAGTTGTGATTTGGTCCAAGTTAGGGCAAATTGGAAAATTGATGTTAGTTTTATCGATTTCATGGTTTTCAGAGGTTTGCATTTTGATCGTGATGGGAACCTCGCTCGTTGGAGTTCCCTTAAGCGTCAGATTATGTCCCACACCATAGGTAGTAAAAACAGGGACGATCATTATTTTGGAGTCTGGTAAGGATACCACTGCTGTTGCTCGTACAGGTGCTGAACTTTTCTTTTGAACACAACCATCTTCATTCGTATTAAAAGAAACATTCAGCTTTCTCACAGGTGATCCATTATGAATTCTAGGACAAAATAACCGGTTGACAGGATATAGGTATGTTGGAGTGAGATTATAGTACAACAGATTGCAAAATATTGTACCGATTAGTAAAAAAATAAATAAACAAAGATAAAAATTCACATATTATTTCTGCGTTTAAAATATGAGGAATATTTGGAAATGGTGCATTTACAATGAATCTAACAGATTCAGCTAAAAAGTTGTACGAAATTGTCATGTCATATGCCCTTAAGTTACGAACACAAAGAATATTGAGATATCATAGAAAGTAGAGCAAATGAAATTAGTACATAGATACAAACAATTTTACATATTTTTGACAAGCAGTCAACTTTCAACACCAAAAGAATTTAAAAAATATTTTCCTCAATGACTTACCTTGTGGTATTAAGTACGTCTGAGGTATCTCGAGACAAACCATTTAACGGACAAACTATCTGTCCGTTCGTTAATTTAGGGGATTCAACATGTCCGTTCAATTCACAAATATCAATTTGTGAACTTTTAAGTATCTGGTTTTGTGTATCTTCATTTTTTAAAGCCACTTTAGGAGATGTAGGATGAAAAGAGGTTCCAGTTGCCGGTCTTTTACGGCACTGCAAAAGTATGAAGACAAAAAGTTAATATTTGATATATTATGCTAAAAAGGAACAAACATTATTTTAATTTGAGATTATATAAGAACATTTTCGTACTGTTTCATACAAAAACAGCAATAAATGGAAAACATTAGTTTGCTAAATAACATAAGGCTTGATATCTAAAAGTAAGTGGCTTTCAGTCACACTTATTGTTCGACTGGCGACATCATCCCAGAGGATAAACCGAAGTAAAGAGGAGAGTTGAGGTTCGTGATCCAATAGTGCTTTAACTAATAGATCACTGTCCAACGGGACTAAATATTTTAGTTTATTTTCTAAAGGGTAGTTCTTAAGTTTCGTCTGAGAATTCAGTCTAGATTTCTTCAAAATAATTTGAACTGTAGTATAATTAAACCATACTTTATTTTCTTTGGGACATATAAAACCTGGCTTCAATTGATGAGTTGCTGAAAACATTTGAAATACTAGGTTTCTTTTCAGTTGCTTTTCCACTTAGAAGTAAATTTTAGATCGATCACATTTGTTTTAAAGATTTTGTTGAAGTATAAACATTTGAGGAACGTTTAAGTTCTTTTGATAAAAGTGAGGGAATCACAATTCCAGAAAATAACCAGTTTCTAAGTTGAAATCTACAAATAAATGAAGTTCAATTCTTGATAAGTAGGAACCAATTAAGATGCAAAAAATAGAACATATAAATAAATGATAAATAAAAAGTGAGCTAACTTTTGATTTTGGAGAACGTGATTCATGACCCATTGTTTCCATTTTGGTAGGACTTAAAACAGATGCCATAATGTCATTTATACCTAAAAGGTAATGAGAATTGATTACAACACTTACCTTGTTGACTTTTAGGTTCAGGGGCATTAACGTGTTTCAAGTTGTTGTAGTGAATTTCTACACTACCTCCTGGTACTTGTACTTTCACCTGACCGACTCCAGGAAATATGGTCCTATGGCCGAAGAAAAATGAACTAATATCAAATGATGATGCAAAAATAACGATAAATAAACATATAAACATATTGATGAATACATTAATGAAACAAAATGTTTCGTCTAAATTGAATAGTTTACTTACTTAATTTGTGAATGGAAGTCGACAGGTGAAATTGCAACAGTATTTTTGAATTGTTGTAAATGTGCCTTTTGATATTCATTATATATTTGAATACGTGGAATGCTAGAGTGATTATGTATAGCATAATTACTTTTAAGCCATTCAAACATGAATTCACGCTTATCAAGTTGAGGTATGGTAATTTCATTTGCAAGGGATTTAGTTGGAGTCTTTATTTGTGTTTGAATTTCTGAGTTAGTAGTAGAAGAATTTGTGTTCAGTGCCAGTGTTGTAGATAACTTTTGAGGTAAACACACTTTACTCATGAGATCATTTGTAGATGTGACACTAGTATTAACAGTAACAGAATTTGTAGTTGATGTCATTTGTGAGGAGTGTATCACAGATGAACCTGGCTTGCTAGAAGATGGAGATCTTGGACCCTGTTGCGTTGAAGATGTAAGAGTGTCAAATTCACGAATAGAAAAGCTAGTTCTAGGAGTAGTAATAACTGGAAGACAATTTCTTACTAGCGAATCACGTTTATTTACCCGAGAATAATCTGTATTTTGAATCCCACTAACTGTTGAACTGGTGAGTAGAAAGTTAGAACTCGTGGAAAGAGAATTACAGCTACTAAGATTGTGAGGATAATAATTTTGTGAAGTAGAAATTGAAGTTTTTCCAGTGGAAGTTTGCAATGTGTCACAAACATTCAAATGATAAGTTGTACAGCATGAAGAATGATTCAGCTATTACCAGAAAAAAACAAACACAAATATATTGTAGAAGACGGAAAATAAGATTAGTCTAAAATATTTAAAACAGACGTTTACTACACATAGTTGATAAATAGAATATGGAACAACGGATACAATAAGAAGTAATCTACATTCTACACCGTGATTTTTCTAGCATATTATTCAAGAGACTAACTTTACGGAATAAAGTTACAGTTGGGAATAATCATAATTAAATTTAATCATAGCAAAAACCCAATCTTACACCACTGAAAATTTTTAATTACAATTATGAACTAAAAGTTCACACAGAAATTACATTTCAACTCTATAAAAATGAAAATAAATCCGTTAATTTCTTTTGTTAACGATGATCGAATAACGAAGTTACGTTGCACGGAAATTGTCAGTTGTACTGAGTATACAAGTGGCAAACAATACATTTCTAACACGAAATGGTAAATGTGCATCAATCCACACCAATGATATGCAAGAGGAAATAAACTAGAAATTTAAGCTTAAAATATGCTTTTAGAATAGGTGGATGTTAACTTGAAATGAGTGACCAGCTAGGTTTACTTTTGTGATATCAGGAAATTCCCGTCAGATATTGTTTTTTGGGACACTTATTACAGTAGGATGATCAATACATAAACATAAATAGCAAGGTAACATACCGATAAAGTCAAATTTGGTTGAGCGCAGTGGATTGGCAGTTGAACTGTCGAATTAACGAATGATGGAACCGTGGGATTTTGTGGAGAAATATATGAGGATGTTGAAGATATTTGCATATTGGCGGTAGAAAATGATTTTGTAGAGGGAACGGTAGAAAATAGAGGTTTTGAAACTGGTGGCTTAGTATTCGTAGATTCTGTACCCAATGCCTGCATAACACGCACACGAATGAGGCTGTCGGACCCCATGGCCTGAGCTTCCAAATTAAGCAAAGCGACGAGTAGAGGAAGAAGGTTTGAGTTCTGGTGGGCTACATGAAGCTCTGAAGAAGTGGAGGCATCTCCTTTGAGTGGTGATCCTTGTTGAAGCAGAAGATCACACAATGTAGGACCAAGACAAGTTAAACTGTGAATAGTATCTATGGCAAGAACTACTAAATGTAAATCTCGTAAACATAAAGTGCTTGCGATAGAAGAGAATGTAACAGGTGGCAATGAAGTCAGAAATGCTATGTTACGACCAGTCCTTGTTAATGAAACCTTTTTGGTACCTACAGGTGGAATGTTGTCGTAGGTCACATCAAAAAGCGGTGTTGTGCATAAGTTTTTCATGATCTGTAAACCTGAAAAGGAAGTTAAAATTCTCTTTTTCAATTTCTGGTGAGATAATTTCGAAAGAGAGGAAACATGTTTGGAACAGCCCCGGATCGCTCGATAGGAAAAACCTGTAGTAGATGAACCAATGACAACAAAAAGACGCTTAGTGACCACTCATGGGCTTTATATACGAGGGAAATGTAACTTTATGAGTATAGTTTTTAGAATCAAGTTGGAATAAACATTAAAAAAAGTAACAACGAAGACAGAAAATAACTAATGAAAACATAATCAGACAGCAGTACGTTTAGGCAAAACACACGATCAAGAGAACAAAAGTAAAAATAAGAAAGGAACACTGTCAAAGAATACTTAGTTTGAGGCATCGACTACCTTCAAATAGACTACACAAAACTCGATAACAATGCCACAAAAAATCAAAATTAGGACAGTAGTGTGGTAATAATATGAGTATGTTTTATTGTTAATGAATGCTAAATAACTAGACTAGGGAGCCTACCTAATACCTCGATGCTTGAATTATTTATGATAAAATTTAAAAAATCACTTAGTTGCTTGATTCTAGGGATATCACTTAGGGAGTCATGATCAAATACATCAACCCAGCCATCCCATATCCAATGCGTTTGTATCATAAAGTAATTAACTTTCCACTTCTACCCAAACATCACGAAAGTGGTACGCGGTATAAGATCTGACGAAACTTTACACACAAAGGTTATCTACATTGTTGCATTCAGAGGTTTATGATGACTGTACTGACCAAAGAATGGTTTTGACTATTCGTAAGTACATGTTTTTCCTTGGAATAGTATACACGGTAGTGACTTCAAATACAAACAGTCCTTGACAGATAACACTGACTAGACATAACCTCGACAGACCATACTTCACAATGTCGACATTACTGATGAAGTCATCAAACTATTTCAAATACTATTGTGTCAATATTAATTCAATGGGCACTTAAGTGCTCATTGTATTTTTGGAAAGTAAGTAGATTTGATCATATAATCAACTTACCACGAATGCGATCCATTCGATCAGGACAAACTAATAAAGTAGTAAGCAAGCGATGGAGGGCAGGTATAAGTGAACCAAGAACTGGAAAATACAGTGAAGATAGTATTTCTAAACCTAGCTGATGTAGACACGAGTGTTTGGAATATATACACAAGAAGATAAAACGCAAGGCTTGAGGATTTCGTCCAATAATGACAGCACTTAATCCGTCATCTACTGCCAAGTTCCGTAGTACAGTGGCGACCAGTTGTACACGAAAAGCTTCTTCATCACCGTATGTCATCTCTTGTACAGCAGGAAAATAACAAAATTCATCATAATTTATAGCGGGAAGTTCTTCTGAAATAGTAAAAAATACACAAAAATTTTCGCGTACAACAAAGAATGTAGGTTTATAAGGACACTGTCCACAGATAAATGCTAGTACTTACAAACAAAGTCAATACTATCTACCAATTGACCAACTGTTATATTCGTTAACAGATGATCCGAAATGATAAAGTTATTAAGACACTAACTGAACATATGATAGTCACTCACCTATACGAATTGAGTCAATAGTTAGTTACAACAAAGAATTTCGTACAATAGTTCAAGTTTCTATACCACATTAGCACGGAGATAGGACTGTCAGTTCATATCCCACAGTAATAGGTAGTAGAAGTATTAGCAGTAGTGGAAAATACTAGGGTCATATCGTTCAGTCTCTAACCATCGGTTTCTGTTTTCTCATGGAACCCAACCTGGTAGTCTACATTTAATAACATGGCTCAGTCCAGTTGTTAGTAACTTAATGGATTTGCGCCAAGTTTTGGTTTGACCACTGCTAGTTTTCTTCCAACCTTCTTCTACACCAGACAACATCATCCATTGAAGTAGTCGGTGTTTAGGCATACACAACAAACTACGTCGTCAGTTGACTTCCCATCCTTACTTAGTACCCTATTCCTAAGCGAGGCATTGCTTAACAGGTCCCAGAATACACGAGAAATGCTTCGAAGTCATTTATGGTCGAACAATAGTAACCTACGAATATCCTTTCTTTTTTTAATGGTTACCCTTAAATTAGAATACAGTGCAGTGTTGCACAGTAAACTCATCCTATGGTTAACAGATGGATATCTTATCTACATCACAAGTTGGCAAGTATAATGTTTTTAACGAACATCCGCATATTATATTAGTATTCTGAAAAATTACCACGTCAAAACAAGCTGAATGAAAATGAACGAGATTAAAGGACTTTTCTGCTATTTTAGGAGCAACTCCAACTCTTCTAGGGTTCCAGGCTCAGAAATAGGAGTAGGGTTGGAATTAGAGTTAGCAAAACGATCAAGAAAAACAAAAAAAATTAATAAGAAACGCTAGCCGAAAAATTCTGAACTGGGAGTTAGAATGACCATATTTAGAAAAGTTATGACATTTCATAAAGAGAGCCGTGGTTCTTCGAGAGTCACGATACCGATTCTCCTCCTTACAACTACACCAACAATTATTATACGTAAAGTGTTCGCACAATGTGGGAGAATTATTCAAGTTGTGCGGAGATCAAAAGATACAACCATGTGGTACTTGTAATAAGTGAAGCTACTTAGACGCAGATTCGTCAAAAAAGGTTAGCTTTGGGAAAGATGCGGTTTTGCTCTGGTTGTGGAAGTAAAACGCCTCACTTACACAAGGGGTTGCATTGATGCTGCCCAAACAAACACAAAAACCACCTATAATTATAGGAATCTCATGTATCCATTATCAGATCATCAAAACATCATCCAACACAAAGAAAGAGCGCCTTACAATCAGTGTCACTCTGTGCTATTCGCTTATCAACGATAACAATAAAAACAATAAAGATCAATTTTATGGGAAGCTGTAATCAACTGTCGAGAAGTGTCCAGAAACTGACTTGACCATCCTGATAGGAGATCCAAACGACAAGGCTGCCATGAACAACACAGGACATGAAAACATCATATACTATGAGAAAGAAACAAAACAGTCAAAGATTCACAAATATATGTGCCTTCAAAAAGCGGTTACAGGCGACACCATATTCCCAAACAAACGCATATACAAAGGGACACGGTTTTCACAATACCACGCCAAAGAGAACTAGGAAGAACAGAAAGGCAGAAATCAATTCAAGCCGAACAAAAGCACACGCTAAACATACAGAAGCAAACAAGCAAGTGAAAAGGAGCATCATATCTCACAAATGGAAATGTGTGCAAATTTTGGCAATGATAGCAGAAAAAGCTAAAACAAGGAAACATCAGACAACTACACGATACAATGAAGAAGTCTGCTAGAATATACAACAAGCCACAACGACCAGTCAAGAACAAGGAAGACAAACCAGTCGCCGACATTCAAGAACAATAAAACAGGTGGGTAGAGCACTTTCAAGAACTCTTCAATAAGCCAGACCCAATGAACTTACTCAACATCGAAGCAGCACCAAAGGACCTCCCAATTGGTTTTCACCCACCAACAATCCAACAGATTAGAATGGCTACCTCACAAATCAAGAGTGATAAAGCAAAAGGACCAGATAACATACCAGCTGATGCATTCAAAGCAGACATAACACTAACCACAAAGATGTTGCACGTTCACCTCACCAAGGTTTGGTAAGAACGACAAGTATCAACAGACTGAAAGGAGGACACCTCATCAAGATACCAAAGAAGGAAGATCTCAACAAGCGTGAAAACTACAGAGGCATCACTCCACTCTCAATACCAAGAAACATCTTCGACAGAGTGTTATTGAACAGAATGAAAGATTCAGTAGACACCCAACTTCGAGATCAGAAGGCTGGACTCCATAAGCATCGATCGTGTGCCGATCGAATACTGACACAACGGATTATTGACAAGCAACCGACTGAGTGGAACTCATTACTCCACACCAATCCCCTTGATTACATAAAGGAATTCGACAGCGTGGACAGGATGATATTGTTGAAACTCCTTCGACAACGCAGTGTACCAGAGAAGTTGGTCAACATTATACGGAATTCTGACGATTGATTCAATTGCAAGATCGTGCATGGAGGACAACTCACTAACTCATTCCAATTGAAGATCGGTGTCAGGCAAGGTTGTTTACGCTCACCCCTTACCCTTCTGCTTGTGGTTGACTAGATCATGAAAACCTCAACGTCTCGAGGTAAGCACGGAGAGACGGCCACTTTGGCAGCGGCAGGCCTCAACATACACACAGGAAAAAACAAGAAAATTAGATACAACACTGTGTAGACCAACCAACTCACACTTGACAGAAAAGCTATGGAAGATGAGGAAACCTTTACATATCTGGGCAGCAACCATCATAAACAAGGTGGATCTGATGCGATGGAAAGATACAAACTGGCAGAATAAGGACAGGATTTCTACAACTGAAGAACATCTGGAACTAAAAACGTCTATCAACCAACACCAAAGTCAAAATTTTCAACAAAAACGTTCCTTGGTATAGAGCTGAAACTTGGTTGACTGCGAAAGCCAACATTTAAAAGATATACATATTTATACAGTTTTCTGTGCCAGGTACTTGGGAACCACTGTCGATAGACCATCAGCAACACTAAGAAGGCAAATTGACAAGCATTACTGCATTGTGGATTTCGTTAAACGGTTTAAGTTGCTATTTTCTACACCATTATATGAATAGACATAAAATGAAGGCGACAGATGCGATAATGTAGGTCACCTGAGAGTTGAAGAAGAGGGATGTTAAGTCTTATTTTAGCCATAATTATGGTAGTGCTGGTGATACTATTCAACTACATTAAGCCAACCAATGACATAAATGAATAACGCTAAATTCACTAATTAAGTACGTAACTGGGTATGAGGTACACTGCGAGCGTGAGGGCTACTGATACTACTCGTTTGCACGAATGGAAGTAGCTGAAGAGGAGTTTGAACCTGGGGCTTTGTGGTTAAAAGGATCAACCACCAAGACAATGGTTGATAGGTAAGCGATAGAGACCAGCTAGGGACGAGAAAACCTCAACATGGCACAAATTCATGAAGTCACTGACAAGTGGACTGAGTCATGTCAGTAGGTATCGACTACCTGGTCGGGGTCCGCGAGATGATAGTAGTAGATGGTTGGAGACCCTGAATGGCATGGCTCAAAATCGTTTGCAGTGGCACAGGTGCATTCATTCCTTGAGTTCTCGCAAATCCTAAACTTTTTAATTACTCACCACTTTATCTTTTTCTTTTTAAGTTTATTTCTCTAGATTCTACTTCTTGAATAATATCTTCAAACCCTACTCTCCGATTATTGTTCGTACTTCTACTACCTATACTACTATGGGATTTGAATTGACAATTACATGTCTGTGCTAATGTGGTATGGCAACATGAACTGAAGTACGTACATACGAACTTCGACGTTGCTATTGATTGAAGCAATAGAGCACTAACTGAGGGTTGAATCAGGATATTAAAATAATCACTGAATCTGTCAACTTAACTGTTAAATCTTGTCTTCAAGTAAACTTATATCGAAAGACCTGAACTTTCGCAAAGGGGAACAGTAAATAGTTCTGTTGTTTCAATCAAGCCCAGCTGCGTCGGGACCCAATCCTACTTTGGCTAGGAAAGTAATCACTGACTTTGTATTTATCAAATTTGATATTTCTGAATAACAAGAACAATGCATACGGAGTGTTTTAAAACGAGGTTACGATTAAGTACCTATGAATCTAATGTGTAAATGCAAAGCAAATAAATGACCGGTACACATTTTCAGAGTATTTTTCAGTTGCATAATTTTACATATCTTTAAGCTTTATTAAAGTGATTACCGGCTATTATAAGCGACTAAACTATATGAAGGTTGTTTAAGTTTTCTGATTTGTATGGATTTATCTTATTTGTCAAGTCCATGAAGTCATTGACAACTGGACTGAGCCATGTTGGTAGGTGTACTACCTGGTTGGGGTACGCGAGGTGAAAGCAATCGATGGTTAGAGACTTTGAACGACATAGCACAAAATCGTTTGCAATGGCGTACGCGTATTGATTCTTTGAGTTCTATGAAATTCGGATCTTCTGAATTCCTCATCACCTCTATCACTGAATTACACTTTCTGAATAATTTCCTAGAACCGTAATCTTTCTGATTATCACTAGTACTTCTACTATCTCTACCACTTTGGGATTCGAACTGACAGTTGTGACTGTGTGCTAATGCGGTATGGCAACCTGAAATTATGAGTCCGTACGAAGTTCTACGTTGTAACTGACTGACCGGTACAGCGTAACAGAGGATTAGAACAGCCAAGTCATTGCATCACCAAGAGGTGGAGTCATTTAATGAAATCTCTGACTGTTGGTCTTGATAAATTTCATTAGCTGTTGGAGAGAATTTATTTGTGGGATGATTTTAACTAAGCTATTTTAAATTAAGTGTCTGGGGGCGAGGACTTTGACGATGTAAGTGATACGGAGCTACACAGGCTTTTTCATGTTGCTAGCAGAGGTGAAGACGAATCCGTAATACATCAACATGATACATTGGTGGGGGAATTTTAGTATGTGGTGAAGTTATCAGTAGTCTTAGGGGTTAGTTTCAAGATATGTCATATGGAGCTTGAAAACCTGTATTCAGAGACTTTTAAGACATGCTATGCATCAAATAGCTAACTGATTGGGATAAATGAGGTAAAGGAAACTTTAGCAAGTTTTTATTAAGGACATATTCTATTGTGAATTATGGAGTGGTTGATGCGATAAAAAAAACACCTGACTTTTAAAAAGAGTAGCCGGTTTGAAATTAGTAGTCTCATTGAATCTGGTTAAGACATCTGTATATTGTCATTGGATCTAGGGAACCGGAAAGTGTGGCTCAAATTAGCGTGTACAATTACTCTAGTTAGTGGAGTAATAATATGATTAAATACGAGATCATAGGATTGGACATTATGAACATTATAAGCTACAAAAGCCAATCCGAACAAGTTAGGTTAGTCAATCAGCTACAACGTAGAACATTGTACGTTAGTACAAGTTGTCATACCACATAAGCAACGAGATGGAATTGTCAGTTCAAACCGTATGGTGGTAGAGGTAGCAGAAGTATTATCAGTAGTGGAAAATGTTAGGGATTAATATCATTCGAGAAGTATATCGCAGTGAAATAAATTTTGAAAAAAAGTCACGAGGAATTCAGTAAGATGTGAGAGAAGACAAATAATGGATGAATTTGTCTCATCTAAACAAGTTAAACGAATATTGGCTAAAACATTTTTAATTGTTTTGAGTGGGTGAAATGTAGAAGGCAATCCATTAGAATATAACTGCGCAGATACTTTTATGGTCGTATATTAGATTCCCAATTAGTGACGGCCATAACCGTGCTTGGCCTCTTTAGACATTGATAATCAGACATTCTGAAGTATTATCAGTAAGCTTAAAAGTTGGGTGCTACCATCAGGAAATACCAAAACATTAATGCACGATGCAATCAGGTATATTGGTTTGGAATTAGGGAAACGTATTTTACAGGCATTTAGATATCAATGCATAAAGTTGAAAATTATTTAGGGTTTACTAAATGAGGATCTGAGGTAATTTTAAGAACTGCAAATAATATCAGATTGAATTACGACTGTATTACATGACTACTTAAAATTATGCTATAAAGCAATCGACATATGATTTCATAGTAAGATGCATGTCATAACTTCATATTAATTAGAATTGGAGGAAATCACAAAACGACTAAACTGTATAGTCTATATGGATAAGCAACGGTTTCAAACTAAACGTTTTTAACTACAAAATAAAACTGAACAGCAATACGCCAACAAGGATATACCTTAGTACTTACTTAAGTAAAAGGCGTTGGGATATAGAAATGCTCGTCCATTCTCTTTATCGATATTTGATTCCCAAAACTAGAATAGATTAGTAAAATATAGATCACTCACATTAAGGTATCTGCTATATAGGTAAGTCGGGACGTGTTCTGGAATAAAATATGGATCTACGTAATGAGTTCAAATGTTGGGACTTACTTGGTCCGTAAATGCCAATGGTATGTAAAAGAATATCCAAAAGCCTAGGATTTCTACTAATACTGAAGTTATTTGCTTGAGAAGACATAAGAAGGATGGTGTTCAACGCAAGCTCAATTTCATTAGGAAGCCCAGACAATAGTGATTTTTCCAACGAAACGTATTCGAAATCATCTCTTAAATCAATACTCAAGCTCCAACTTTTTCGTAAGTGATTGGGTATTTCTTCAGCATTAGGACGAATAGAAGTCCCATAAATGTCTTGTTTGAACGTTCTTGGGAATTGATCAAAATCCTTTAGAAAGTTTATCTCCGGTAATTGTAAAAACGAACCTGAGCATCATCATCAAAGTGGGTAACACCATTATCCTGCTCGTCGGATGTGAAAGTACTTCTCGATATCATTCGCTGGTTTCTTTCGAATAACTCGAGATATCTTAGATAAATTGTACGCAATCCATGGCCTGCATATACGCAACCTGGCGGAAGACCTAAGGCTCGATAAACTTCCAACCACAAGTGGGATAACGTAACCTGTAGCAAGAACATTAGATTTCTATTTCCTGCCTTACTTGCTTGTGACCACCCCGCAAGGCAACTTCGTTGTACAGCTTCTGTAAATCAACTAAGTGTCCAAAAAGAAAGGGTGGTTGTAATACAGCATTTTGTCTAAGATAGATAAAGAATAAAATCGGATTTGCAACAAACCTGTTGTGCCTTGTCAGCTTTTGAAGTTCTAACATGAACTGCTCATATGGCTTCATGCATAGTGGAAGCGAGCTCATAAGGGAGTAAAACCGACTTTTGTTTTTTGACATTATGTTCCACGTTAATCGGAGAATTAAGTAAAATTGAACCTGAAGACGATGAGTTCACATTCTGACGGGAAAATAAGCTTCACTCTTGACATTTTTAAAAAAATTCGAATGATAAATGGATTATGTGCAGATCTAGATTGATGGTCGAAGATCAGTGTGTACGCCTATCTGCACACACTTATGCAATTCAGCAGACCTATGTATATAAATTTGGTCGGCTGGTTCAGTAAGTATTCAGTGAGTAAGGGTGAGAGGTTTAGCACGGACAACGCATACTGGTCTCACCGATGTAGATTCTGGTAAGAAAAATAAGATGTTCTTTTCCAAAACACCATTTGCGAACTCTTAACAAAAAAAGCTATGCACACTGCCAAAAGCAAACATTAACCATCAGACCTAAATGCCTTCATAAGGATGATCGTAAGACAAACATGCTCGGTACTTAATGCACGCGTGCTGTCTATCTAACTAATAGTGGTCAGACAGGCACTAGGTCATTGATCAAAGAAAGAGATTAAATTAGGAACCACTGGGATAGGAAAACGAAGATACAACCAGCCAATCAGACCTCTCTGCAGGCAAGTTGAAAGCAAGGGACGTACGGTTGGACAAATAAACACTGATCTGTTGATCAGTGTTAAAGTTGATTGTTTAAAACAACAAATTCTTTTTATCCAAGATTATAGGCTTTCAATAAGAATTAAGCTTAAATAGAAACAAATGGGACAAAATCAGACGGATTTGTAAAAATTAAGCCCACACAATCTGACTCTACCACTTTCGTGTCAAAGCGCAATCTTCAAATTCTTACGCTACGATTGACGCGTATCGTGCGGCTAGCCTCATTTTGGAAGTAAGTGGTCATCATAGTCACTCACTAACAAGTCATATTTCCGCCATTAATTCAATAAAAACTCACGATTATTAGAAAATTTCTAAATTCACAATGGAATCCACACACCTGAAATCTATATCCTTGTTCTTAGTCTCCACTTACAGGTTTGCATTGTGGTCTACTTTGTTTTATCATATTAGTGTGTAGTGATGCTTTTTCTTTCAAGATTCCAATGAGTCTAACAATTTACCTGACAGCTACTAGAAATAAACAAATTTCCAGGGCGGTCACGGCTGTACTGTTCTAATCTCCAACCGTCCTATAATTTCTGAGTAGACGTCAACGTGCGAATGTACTCATATGACTTGACATAAGCTTAATATTTGTCTTCATCAAAAAAGTGTTTTCGTAATTATGTTCGTTTTCTTAAAGTAAAAAGCCACATCTACTAATATAAAAAATTTACCCTAATACATTTAACTATGATAAATCCCCAAATAGATAGTTATGTAACCATAATCATGATATTGGCTTGATAGGTTCCTCCACTTTTATCTACTATCATTTATGACGTAAATGCAAGATCATTTTACTCATTGACTGTAAGTATTCACAAGTTCGGTATTTTGTGAAACGACCCCTGAAGGTCAGTTAGTCAGTCAGTTACAACGTAGAACTTCGTACGGACTCATAATTTCAGGTTGCCATACCGCATTAGCACACAGTCACAACTGTCAGTTCGAATCCCAAAGTGGTAGAGATAGTAGAAGTACTAGTGATAATCAGAAAGATTACGGTTCTAGGAAATTATTCAGAAAGTGTAATTCAGTGATAGAGGTGATGAGGAATTCAGAAGATCCGAATTTCATAGAACTCAAAGAATCAATACGCGTACGCCATTGCAAACGATTTTGTGCTATGTCGTTCAAAGTCTCTAACCATCGATTGCTTTCACCTCGCGTACCCCAACCAGGTAGTGCACCTACCAACATGGCTCAGTCCAGTTGTCAATGACTTCATGGATTTGCGCCATGTTGAGGTTTTCTCGCCCCTAGCTTTCCAACCTGCTCCTGCACCACAACACTTTTCATCGATGCAGTCGTTAATTCGGCATACGTGACACATGTCTCAAAAACCTCAATTGATAATGCTTCAATACTTAATCTACTGATATGCCAATCCTATCTAGTACTGGATTCCTAACGACAGCATTGCTTACTTGGCTGTCTCAGGATATACGAATAATGCTTCGAAAGCATCTACAACCGAATACTAATAACCGACGACAGTCAGTGATCGAGTCCAGTCAGATGGTATTATGCACAGTTCCCAAATTCTACCGAAGATCTCAGTCAGTGTGACTGTTAAAATTGGACCACCATTCTTAAAAATCTCGGTGGTAATCAATTCATCAGGATCAGGGTAGTCAGAAGACTGCATTGTGTCTGCGTCTTCACCAAGTAGAACTATGTCATCGGCATATTCTATGTGAACAAGCGTGTCTACCAGTAAAAGGTCTTTTCCTGGAAATTCAGACGATGATAACGTTGTATCTAGCAGCATGTCTATCGAAAATTTAAACAAAAATGGAGAGAGTGGATAGCCCTGAAGAACGCCACTGGAAGTTACTAATTCCGATGACTGTTTGTCATTAGCTCTCAGTCGATCAGTGGTGATCGAGTAGAGAGCTTGTATAAGGTTAATGTACTTCTTCGGTACATATTTCAATGATAGACACTGCCACAAAACCTCACGATCGTCAGTGTCGGATGCCGCTTTAAGGTCAAGAACTACTACTACTACTTTGAGGCGTCTGAACGTGTTTATTTGTTCTGCGACCTAACGTAATGTGAATATCTGGTCCATACATCCACGTCCAAGTCGAAAATGAGCCTAGTTTCCTCGAGTCTGCTCTTCACGAGCTCTAGTTAAGCATCGGATTATTATTGATACTGTATTAGTTAAACTGATTCCTCTGTGATTGTCATAGAAGGGATTTGGTCCTCTTTTAGATCGGGACAGTCAATGATTGAGACCAGTCAGATGGTATTATGCACAGTTCCCAAATTCTACCGAAGATCTCAGTCAGTGTGACTGTTAAAATTGGACCACCATTCTTAAAAATCTCGGTGGTAATCAATTCATCAGGATCCGCTGCTCTAACTCTTCTTAGATTTCCCATAGTTTTCCCAACTGAATTTAAAGTGGAAGGACTTACATCGATTCGCCATTTCGGGTGACTTGAGATTATGGGTAACCGAGGTGTCTGAAGGTCACTTGAACTGGTTCCTGAATTGTTCTGCCCATCGATCCAATCTCCTGGGTTGAGAATGAATGATGCAGCCATCCTTTTCTGAGATAGTTTCGCTAACAGACAGATTTCTAATACCGGTTTACTTGATAAGTGTAAATAGTTGTCTACTGTTGGTTATCGCGACTGCCTTTTCCATCTCTCAAGCTTTTGCTGCCCACCAATATTCACAATCACTGCGTAGTCTTCTTATCAGCCTGTGCTTAAGCTAACTTCGCTCTTCATCATGTTCAGAGCCAGGTGGGATGAGTTTACGAGCGTCTATCAGTTCGATGGATGTTACTGAGATGCACGGCTTCTTTCCAGCCTTATGGTTTACTTTACTAGCAGATGTCACTGCTGTTTCCACAGCTTTTTGGATATCGTTTCAAGCTGCCTCCGGATGGGAATCACTGACATGGTCGCCTAACTGTCTTTCTAGTTACTCCTGAAATGTATTCTTAGCTATGCTATCATTGAGTAGAACTCTGAGAGGTTTTCTTGTTGTATCCTTCCTTCGTCCATTAAGTCGCAAACAAATACGCGCTCACACTAGAACATGATCTAAATCTAAACATGTGCACCAGAACGACTAGCAGTCCTCTATCGTACCTATCCATCGGTGTCTGATAGCGATGTGATCTAGTTGGGTCCAGCGTTCGGACGACTTTGGGAACTGGACGTAATCCCATCCGACTGGTCTCAATCCCTGATTGTCCCAATTTATAGGAAAGGACAAAAGTCTTCTTGTGACAATCACAGGGGAATAACTGTAACTAATATAGTTTCTAAATTGTTTGCCTCGATTATACTTAGATGCCTTACTAGTGCTCATGAAGAGCAGACTAGAGAAAACCAGTCTGCTTCCAGACCTGGACGTGGATGCGACGAATTCTCGGCATAGACACAAAAAGCTTGTTTGGCATTTGCTAACTTGCGTCGTTTATGGTGTAAGCGAGATATCCGTTTGCCGACTAAAGGTCGAGTGTACTGCGCAGTAGTTCGCTCCGTCTTACTTTATGGCTGTGAAACATGGCCAGTGAGAGTAGAAGATATTCGTAGGTTACTGGTTTTCGATCATAGGTGTCTTCGAAGCATTGCTCGTATATCCTGGGACAGCCGAGTGAGCAACGCTGTTATTAGGAATCGGGTGCTAGGTAAGAATGGCAGATCAATAGATGAAGTAATGAAACTCCATCAGTTGAGGTGGTTGGGACATGTGTTGCGTATGCCGAACCACCGACTGCCTTGACGAGCTTTATTTTGTAGTGTAGGAATAGGTTGGAAGAAAGTTTGGGGCGGCCAGACCAAAACATGGCATAAATCCATGAAATCATTGACGAGTGGACTTATCCATGTCGGTAATTGTCGACTACCTGGTTGGGGTCCGCGAGACGATAGTCACCAATGGTTAGAGACCCTGAATGACATGGCTCGAAATCGTTTGCAATGGCGCCGGTGCATTTATTCTTTGTGTTTTTTCAAATCCTAATCTTCTGGTTTCTTCAACCCCTCTAGTTTTGACCTAAACTTTTCTTACTGAATCATAATTCTTGAATAATATCTAATCCTAACCTCTCCGATTACTTCTAATACCTTTACTATCTTTTCCACTATTGTATTTGAATCGACAATTATATCTCTGTGCTGATGTGGTATGGCGACATGAATTGATGTACTTACGTACGAAGTTCTGCGTTGCATCTGACTGACTGACATTTTACTATTTGATCGACTCTGGGTAAATGTAATCGCTACTGAATATATACGCAACCTTTTTAGTCACGTAATGAATATCCTGCCTGTTCTTGTTCTCACCTTTCAGACTTTTCACATTTGAAGCTATCTCTTCAGTGAAGATCTTCACTTATTCATCACTTATAATATTGTAAGTTTTCAGATGGAAATTTCGGAAAGCACTACTTCAACGCCGTCGAGTATCCCCGGTAGGTTTACTGTTTGGCTTTCCTACTTTAGTTCTTAGACTACTCGACTGAAGCAGCTGAATAGTTTCTTTGGTCGTTCATAATCAGTGCTAAGCCTGATAAAAATGTCCATTTTTTCAGTATTGTTATTAACGTATAAGTGGCGCAGCTGAACTTAGTGTTTGTCTATTATATTTCAATTTTATGTATTCCCTCATACTTACCTTTTCGAATCATATTCTCATCGTCATTATTACTGCTATGTATTCTGTTAGTTTCATTTTGTTTACTACTCCATTTGATTTCCACAGGCCTGTCTAAATGATTATTATTCTTACGTCATAAAACAGCGTAATCATAGAAAAACTAGTATTTCTAGAATTTTTGGTAGTAGTTGTTCAGCTAGTGCTCAATGGCACCGAGTCTCTTAATTCCAACTCTATTTTTTATTTACGTCCTAATTTTTTATTTATCATTATTTACGTAGCGAATAAAAATTTGTTTTGGACTATTTTCTTGCAAGCACTTATGTTGTTTGGTCACGGAAATCATAGTATTTTGTGGTTTTGTAACACTAAACACAAAACTTTAATCACACTTCCATAATATTCGTAATGTTAACAAAGAATCCGCAGGTAGACTTTTGTATAGATGTATACTTACTAGTCAGTATTTTTTATCTGTTGATATTACTTTTTGGAGATTATGTAATTACTTGCAGCATTGAAAACTATTTGTTGCATTATTTAGTGCTGTCGCTTGTTAAATCAGCGCAACAACAACATGGTTTACGTCATGGTGACTATCAACGTTATCATCAGTATATTTCCCGTAAACTCAGGAGAATGAGAAAATCACTACATTTTCAGCAAGTAAGTCGTATGATATATTTTGATACATTATCGTTCTCTTTTTTTAGGGGAATCGATCAAAGGTTGTCCCTAAAAAGTTAACTCCGGATGTCGTGACAGATCCACGTTTCATTATTTTAGCAGTCTTTGAAATCGAACGATCATGGGCATACGCTATGCAATTAAAAGCTGAGTCAAGCACAGAAATTCGCAAGCGTTTCCAGATGTGTTCTCGACTTCGTAAAGCTGTTGCACGTGCTGAACTTTTATGTAATATGGAAGATGATTTGTCCTTGTTAGATGTACAAACTAAACTTGAATTGCGGGCATACAAGCAATGGATTCGTGGAATTTTATTTTTTGAACTACAGGTAGTTAAAATCGAACAGTTGTTTTTTTTTCACTGAAACTTTTATATTTCCGTATATTGGATTTACTTGTTTCTTTTTATTGTTTGGTTATAATGTGGCTCGTCAATTATTCTTAGCTTAACCTGTATCCTACTTTTTACTGGCTAAGATACAACTTACCGCATTAAAACAATTAGAATAATTTAATTAAAACTATTTGATACGCATTAGTGAAATGCATTTCAAACCTCATTACACATTAAGTTGGTAAGATATATATGAAGACTAAAATCTCAGTGTATACAAATGGAAACAAGAAACAATGAGAATAACAAATTAAAAACATTAACCTAACCAATCTGGATATTACGTTAAAATCAATATCTGAAGTTCGTGCTGATAATATTGTTCAGAAGAACAATGAAAGCTACGCAACCAAAACATCCAGCTCAGTGAACCAAACACCACAACAATTAAAATGTACATCCCCAGCATGATTTTCTGTAAATACGAATTTTAATGTACATGATCCTGATAGACTTCGTTTCCTTGCTGTACTATATAAACTTATTACCTGTCACACCGATGACCTTTTTAACACAACTTTAACAGGTTTTAGTCTGTATTATTCAAACTAAATATACTATCATGATTAGTAAAACAAGTTGCCATATCACATTAACACAGAGACACAATTGTCAATTCAAATCCCATAGTATTATAGGTAGTTAAAGTATTGCAAGTAGTGGAAAAGATTAGGGTTCGAAGATACAATTCGAAAAGTATAATCCAGTGAAATAAACTCAAAAAGAGAAAGATAAAGGTGATGAGGAATTCAAAAGACTAGAATTTGAGAGAAGACAAAAAATAGATGCACCTGCGCCATTGCAAGCGAAATTGCGTCATATCATTCAAAGTGTCTAACCATCGGTTACTATCGTCTCGCGGACCCCAACCTGGTAGTCTACATTTACTAACACGGCTCAGTTCAGTTGTCAGTGACTTCATGGATTTGTGCCATGTTTTGGCTTGACTACCGCTAGTTTTCTTCCAAAATTCTTCTACATCACAAAACATTGCTCGTCGAGGCAGTCAGTGGTTGGGCATATGTAACACATGTCTGAACCACCTCAACTGATGAAGAATCACTACTTCATCAACTGACCTACCATCCTTACCCAGTACCATTTACCTAACACCACCATTGCTTACTCGATTATCCCAGGATATACGGGCAAGCTTCGAAGACACTTACGATCGAACACTAGCAACCTACAAATATTCTGTATTCTTAGTGGCCATGTTTCACACCTCCATAGTAGGACGGAGAGAACTGCTGCGCATAAGACTCGTCCTTTGGTTAGTAAACGGATATCTTGCCTACTCCATAAATGACGCAAGTTAGCAAAAGCCAGTCAAGCTTTTTGTGTCCATGCTGAGATTTCGTCGCACACCAGGCGATCAGCACTGATGAAACTCTGAAGATAAGTGAAGCCGTTGATACGCACAACAACTTTACTATGCTGGTTGCCATGTCGAGACATGTTTATCATTATGTTGAAAGTTGGCGTTTGCCAGCGACTGACGGTTATCTGAGCATAGTTGCAGCTGATGGTCACTGTGATCTGTTCTTTGAGCTGTGACTCCATAAGAACCATACTGATGTCTTACTGTTTCTTTTAGTGTACCTATCGGAGTATGAATGCACCAGCTACTATTATCACAACAGACTGCCCATCTTTCTAAAAGAGATTTGAAAGGCTTCCGCGGAATTCACCTTTAAGTTTGTCCGGGCTAAAGTCCGTCGTCGTATTCAGAGACAACGAAGCGGCAGCAATGAGTATCCCTGTCTTCCCAAGTTCTTATTGTCCCCGTTTAGTCGACAGCACACAAGCGACTATCTGCTGGCATTTATTCTAAGAGCGCTGGTTCTGCTTTTCATATCACTACTACGTCGTCACCAGAAAGGCCTTGAGCAGCAGTTGTTCATCCCAGATACACGAAGGTGAATCAAAACGGTTCTTTATCTTGACAAGGCGAGATCATATAGGAGACTCATTCGCTTTTCGGAAACGCGGCATACATCTATGACGAAATTCCTAAGTCCGAGCTAATGAAGCCTGTTGTTTAATTCGGCACAGGGTCCTAATATTGTAATTTCCAACGGGTGATTTAGAGAAGGCAGCATCACCCAGAGGTTGACTGTCCTAGGGAAACACTACTACTGTCACACCTCTCTACTGTTAACAGTACGACTTTACCCTCAGACCTTGAATGCCTGTCTTTAGTCTTACCGTTATCCAATCGAGCTGTCTGACATAGTAGGACCTAAAGGAGCATATTTTATAGCCAATATATCTCGGTTGGGTCATCCCAATAGGTGAACCTGGTCATCACGTCAAGCTAGCCGCTACGGTCAGGTTACGAGTGTTATAAAGATCATGAATCAACCTAAGTTAGATAGGTGTTGAACATCTAAAATTAATGAACTCTTGTTTTGTCCCCTTACGGAACTCCTCAGTAGGGCTCATCCACTACTTTACTGGAGAAATTGCCCTAGGCTTTCACGTTTTAAAGCCAGAGTTTCAATGTTTACTGCTAAGAGCCCATCATATTAGAAAAAAAGCTCTTCAGTACTTTTTGCTTTTCAGTAGTTGTCTAATATAGGTTGGTGCGTGGTTTCAGTAATATTTGATTTTAATTTTATGATATTTTATTATACCATACGTATCTAGAATTGGGCCGTAGCCAAGGAACATCTAGAATCAGCTCAAGCTATTTATAATGTTTTACTTCAAATGGTAGATGAAGACAACCAAGCTGTTTATAAATCTCGAATTGATGATCTTTTACCTCAAATTCGTTACTGTGCGCATTCAATTGGGGATGAGACAGCAGCTACAGATTTACAACGTATGCGTAATCAAGCACCTGATAGTCTAACACTTTTGTCGGAACTTCAGTTAGATCAACTTCTTAGTCAAGCTCGTTCCAGACAAGCTAGTCAAGTCAGTGAAGTTGATTGGTTGGGGATTTCGATTCCAGTAAAGTCAGAAAAGGCGAAAATTGCTATTTTAACGGTTCAGGTAGGTCAAACAGATACATTTGAATGAAAGGAGGCGCAAGTCTTTTTTGTCTACTCATAAAGCTGTTTTATATTTTTCTCTTTAGGAATCTAAGTCAGAACTCGAAAAAGCAGAAACTTTCCAAGCTAAATTATCTATCTATGAATCTGTTTTAAAATCGTGTGTTGAAGCAATAACATCTATCAGGGATGAGCTACGTACTGCAGTAGCATCCGAGCCATCAGTTTCTGGAGATAAAAATACAGCTGCTGTTGTGGCTTCTACTAAATATGGTCAAACTCTAGGTTCTGAAAAGGTATGTTGTGTTATACTTCCTTAAACACCCATTCATTAATGATTTTATAATTTGTTGTTCATTCCGAATAACGGAACTCTGTCTTCGTAAAATAATGACTAGACTAAATCTATATGCAGTCGTTTTTTAGTGCCAATCGATAACTAATTATCGTTTTTGAATTAATTCTGTCTATTCACCATAGATAAAGTTGTTTTTACTTGTCTATGGAGTTTCATTTAATGCGTATTTTAGTCCATACATCTCTTCGTTATTTTCATTTCTAATTTGTTAAAGCATTTAAAATATCAATTTTTTTCACGCATAAGAACATTCAAGTTGAATCTGATACAAGATTATCCTGAATTGCAAATAATTTCAAAAGTTTAGTTGTTGATAATGCCTTAATAAGGAGTTTTCGTCATAAAAATTAAGAAGTAGATAACGAACATGACAGGCTAATTACCTTAATTGTCAGTTTCCAGAACTATGGATTATTTCTTACTCATTGAAATTGCAGTATAGTGTACACAAATATGAGTCAATAAAGTTAGTACTCCCACAGTGTGAGACGTTCTTTTGTTTGAGTGATACTGTAGGTGCTTTGCTGTGTGAATAATGTTTAACATCTTGATAACTTTGAGGTATTTTGATAATAACCATTTCAAAAGCTTTTTTCTCTTAGAATTTATGTGCGATTTTGAATTTCAGGTTTCACGACTCCAGCTTTTGTATACTTATTTACAATATTTGAAATTAGCAAAGACGATTGATCGGACACTGTTGCATATTGAAACTACTATTTCCAACCTAGTAGAGGGAAGTCACAAACGAAATCAACTTGCTACTAGTGCTTATCCTAAACCACAAGAACTATCTCGTTTGTATGATACGTTGGTACAAAATTTTCAAGAGATCATTTCTCTACCATGTCTGATACAAGATCATATTGGTTTAAAGGATTTATTGTATGCTAAAATGCTATCTTATCGTAGTTATCGGTGAGTTGGTTTTTAGATTTTTGATTACTTAGTTATTGTGATATTGATATTTTTCTTACTGGCTTGCTTTAACGGTCTCATAAAAAATATGAAACTCTGTAGCTGATACAATAGTCCATACTGTTACAGATACAGGCAACACTTTGAGGATAATTGTCAAGACAACATCAGTAATTATACAAAAGCATGGATACCTGTAGAAGTGATAAAACCATATAAATTGTGGAATATAGCAGTGCACAGTCTTACAGAGAGCTGTAGTATAATAAGGAGCTAGAAACACTTTGAAAATAAATTTATTGAATTTTTGATTCTTAAGGGGTTAGGGACATAAGACGCTTTATTATTCTATTAGAATTACTCATACAACTGTTCTCTGAGTGGTTTATTTTGTCATTGTTTACACTATCCGTGATAGGTGTTTTCCAACTGTGTCTACTGCATTTCATGTCCATCTCAATTTATATAGTTTTATACACCATATTTGTTATTTCTTCATATTCAGCCAGTATTAGGAAATGGTATATTCTTCTCATCTATTGTTTCCGTTGTTTCGACAATTTATAGTAAATGAAGGTTGATCGTTTTCATGTTATGAGCGTTAGCTGATTCTCATTATCCCCTATTTTTTAAAGCCTTTTCATAAAGCATTTATGTAATAAATTGACAAAACGGCAGAGTTGTTGACTTAAAAACTAAGGTTACTCGAAAGTATCAGTCAGTTGCAACATAAAACCTCGTACGTATGTATATCGGTTCAAGTTGCCATATCACATTAACACAGAGACACAATTGTAGTTAAAGTATTGCAAGTAGTGGAAAAGATTAGGGTTCGAAGATACGATTCGAAAAGTATAATCCAGTGAAATAAACTCAAAAAGAGAAAGATAAAGGTGATGAGGAATTCAAAAGACTAGAATTTGAGAGAAGACAAAAAATAGATGCACCTGCGCCATTGCAAGCGAAATTGCGTCATATCATTCAGTCTTTAACCATCGGTTACTAGAAGGTATTGTGTTCAATGTATGCAATACTACATTCTTAATTTATATTTCTTTATATATTTATAATCAATTGATCAATCATGGTAATAGTCAGTTTAATGATTATTGACTTTCTGAATAAGTCTTTTACAGACATCAGTGATTTTAATCTAACTAAGATTATATACAAATGTGCAGGTTGAAATTTGGTTTCTACTCTTTACCATAGGTGCTATTATTTGGCTCTCGCTTATAACTGCAGTAAAAAATATGTTGAATGCTCCGCTCTTCTCACGAGGGCTATACAACATGCTGAAAAAGCAATTACATCTCTTAAGCGCGCCACTTCAACCTGGACTAAAGCTGAAGAATGTATCGCACCTGGACCTGGTCCTGATGCCTTATCAATATCTCTTCAATCTCTTATATTACAGGCTGAATCAGAAGATTTTACTTGCAAAGCAGCCTCAATGCTTAATACAGTAGAGGAAAGCGAGTCAGTGTCGTTTACCCCCCTTTCTGATACCACAGGGGTGGATGGTTCACGAAAAGTAGGTATTTTTGATGTACTTATGGATTTCAATTCTGTTTAGCGTGTTTGCCACAGCTCGTGTAAGATCGCAGAATATAGACTTTTTATTTTCATTGCGCCTATTCCAGCCTGATTAGTTTCAAGAAATAATAGCATACTATTTTAGTTCTAGTCTTCGACATCAGTTTCAATTGATTAGACATTTCATCCCAGTGTTTATTTAATGGTCTTTTGTGTTTCAGGTATTTAACTGCATTTTTGTAGAATATAACAAACAAAATAACTTATTAACCTGTTATTTGTGTATGAGCTGCACCTCAGGTGTGGGACAATTTGAGACTTATATGCCGATAACCGACCGCCTTAACTTCTTCATGCCATAGGACTAATATTCACATATTAATAACCAAGTACAAGTTTTATCAATGAGTTCCCAACAGCAACTATTTATACACGCAAGTTCCCCTTTCTCATGCATAGTTTGTGGCTAGTTGGTCATTTTCACTATCGAGCCTTACGTCGTCTAAAACTTTGTCTCATTTAATGCCTCTATGCTGAACTTTACACCGAATATTCCGCCGTCTTACTAGCTCATTGTAATCCGTTGGGTTTACCATATCATCATTTTCGTAATGAATGTTTTCATAATCAAACCCATATCTCGCAAATAACCTAAAAAGATAATATCCACATTTTTATCACTCCACGTTGTATTATATCCTTGCTTACGCATGTAAATTGTTCATCTCTTTTTCAACCATAATATATCTGAATCAGTCCTTTGCAAGCGTATTGAAATGACTTTTCTTATCGTTTAGTTTTTATTGGCGTATAAGATAAACAACACGTTGGACTTGTTTTTTCATGCAGACTCTAGATGATCAATGTTTTAATTCTACTTTCCTCTTGTCTTTATACTTCCTTTTAGACACTGATTGATCGCTTGGATATTTACGCCGACGAAAAATCTGTTGAGAAGTCATTCAGTAACTTTGTTTATCCCTTTGTTCATATGCCTCCTACGTTTCGTCCTGTCCCTGTAAAACCAATCTTCTTCGACCTTGCTTTAAACCATATTAATTTTCCATCTTTGGATGACAAAATTGGTCTGAAGACTAGTACATCTAAGTCTTCTGGTCTTACAGGTCTTATGCGTGGATGGCTGTGGCGGGGATCGGAGCCCACAGAATCTTAAACCCAGTATTTTGACACTTCTTTTTTGTTTCCGTTTTCATATAGCTATTGGTATTGAATTATTGATTTTTGTGTACTGTAGGGTGTGTTATATGTTTTCATCAACATATTCTTCTTTCATACCATAAAATGGACTGGTCCTCAATAATAATATTACTTGACTTGTAACTTTCTCCATTTTCACGTGGCAAGGGTCTATATATTGGTATTTGTTCCGTTCCTCTGTGACGCCTTTAGGCGCGTTTTCGTGACTTTTGTACATATAGTTAGTGGACAGCTGTTTATACAGAAACATTTATAGATTTGGATACACTGATGTTTAAATAACCCACTAGCAGTAAACAGGTCATAGTGATGCTTCCCGCTTAAGTGTATATATTTTTGAGATTAATTTGTTTCTGCCTATAAAACACCTAAATAATATTATTGTTCATGCTAATTGTAGCACTTATTACAGCGAAATTTTTGAAATTAAATGAGTACCAGTTCTACGAAGTTAGTGTTCTGATAAACGGACCAGTAGAGATCGATTGTCTGCTTTATAGTTTTTGAAGATGATTCACTTGAAACTATTACGAGTTCATCTTACTCGGTAAATGGAATGGCGATCAAGGATGCAGTGACACGATAGGCTATCCTAATCTGATTGTCTCTGGCCCCGCTGACTGGATCAAGAAGTCTTGATAAGGAGTAGAGAATGTATTCTGCAGGTACCCAGAAAATAGGTTGCTAAGCACTCAACAGAAGCTTATTAATACAACTGATAAAACGCCCTTGGTGAGAGCCACAAAATAGCGTACTAAAAAATACGAGTGGTAAACGTAGGCTGAAGTTCAACTGAATTACAAAAATTAAATCCGAAATTTCGAAATAAAAATAGAGAATTAGGACCTTTTCCAAGTGAGCTTTGGTAATCTAACATCCCAAGTATATGTAAAAGTGTAATCGCTAATTAAGATTTTCCAGATCCCTTATATGGAAGGAGAGCTTTTGTCTAATAACCTCCAATACTAAAAACCCATTAGATTGCATGGTCGTTAGAAACATAAAACTTGAAGTTTTTGAATGAAATAATGTACTTGATAAAATCAGAATGAACGAATTTAGGTATATAATCGCTTCTCAGTATATCGAGTACCCTTTAAAATAGAGATGGATATAACACATCATCATTAGAAACAATCGAATTATTCACTTCCCTAATACTAGTGGTAAATAAACTGTAGACCTACACATCAACTGCATTTGTCCGATCTTGCAATATTTGAAGCTAGATGATAAGAGACACAATTTAAGTGATTTAAATTAGTCATACAGTGAACTATTTTAGCATAATCTCTTTGATTGTTTCTCACATTTCCATGAGAATGAAAACCGTTAATAGGCAAGTGCGAGTTTTGGAAATTCAATCTTCACAGCGGCTAGCCAAAATATCAGATATTTTCACCGGCTGGTGATTAGCGTCATTAACTATATCAAAGTTAACATGTCTTGGTTTGGTTTCTTGAAATGAACTGCCATGCTTTTCACCTTATTCCCTATAACATGTCTGAGCATTTGTTTCAGCGAAGATGTCAGTTACATTCGGAAATTGAAAACGCTTTCGTCCGTATCACCTTCCCGATTGATAATACCCAAATTAAGCAGTCATGATTCCATAATATGAAAATATATTAGTAGGATGGTTGAAATGTTGAGGAGTGAGTGGACTGAGCTTGAAAGTTGATGACAGAAGATCCGTTGCACGGCGTACCGAACTAATAATATTAATAACATGAAATGTATCATAGACAAAAGATAATATTTGCATATCTCACTACTTCTTTGGAACTATCTGTTCTTTCTTGCCCAGACATGCTGGTCACTACAATTCTTCTCTGGAGATATGTTTGATGGGTTGCCTAATAATTTATCAGTAGGTCTGATGGTATTTAAATGCTACATGGATTCAAATGTAACTGAAGCGACCCTGGGTTTATTTGGATCGAAGAAAAAGAAAGCCTCAGCCACGATCGTGAGACAAAATAAAGTTTTGAATCGACAGATGTGAGTATGTTTCGTTTCAGTCCGGAAATTCTGATTGCACATTCATCTTGTTTCCATTCAACAATGGTGGAATTCGTGACAGCAAAACTAACGAGGCCACCATCGAAATTGATGACTTACAGAATGTTTTATCTCAGGGATTTGTTTTGCATCACTGATCATAATGCTCAAATTGAGGGTAGTTACCATTAAAGCAATAAGACACTGGGCATCTTATCACAGATTCGGAAGAGATTGTTGCGGCTGCTTACTTAGACCAACTTCAAACTACCTAAAGATAAAATAGACGCACGATTCAAGTTGTTATTCGATTTCCTGACCGCTTAGTGTGATAAGCGTGCAATTATTGAAGGTTCTTAAGTTTGATTCTGAGTACTAAGCGATTGATGTGTATGGAAAAATTGATTAGTTCAAAGTGTCAAACAGTGAATACGTTTATTGGAAAATTATACGTTTTGCAATAATTTTTAATCTAATATAAAAACACAATGCAAATTCATACTCCGTGCTTCACAGTCGAGTTCCTCCTTGCAGCAGGATAGATGGGAGATCAGGTATGAGGCCTAAGAGTAATTTAATGTTTTCCTTAGTCGTTTTTGAAAGTATTATTTCGTTTGAATAGGATAGAAATAGCGATCTGACGTGAGGTTCTGCTGATTGTGAGTAATATTGTCATTTTATCACAAAGATTTAAATAGTTTTTGGTTTCTTTCGCCAGTTCGTTTACTTTTTCAAGTCTATATTGTTTATTACGCTTTTCCACCTGGAGCTACTCTAGGGCTACTGTCGGTCCCAAGCCCGGATAAAGGATGATGGTTGGACATGAGGAAGAGAAGCCCAGATTATAAGAGGAGGGGGAGTGCTGTTCGGTGGCCAATGCTTCACTTGGAGTTACAGAAGTAGGTTAGTCAGTCAGTTACAACGTGAAACTTCGTAAATGAGTACATCAATTCAGGTCGCCATACCGCATTAACACACAGACCCAAATGTCAGTTCAAATCCCATAGTGACAGAGGTGGTAGAAGTGTTACTGGTAATGGAGAAGATTAGGATTCAAAGATATGATTCGAGAAGTATAATTCAGTGAGATAAATTTAGAAAGAGAGACAGAGATGATGAGGAATTCAGAAGATTAGAATTTCATAGACTACAAAAAGTGGATGCAACTATTATCGAATACTAATAACCTACAAATGTCTTCTACTCTTAACGGCCATGTTTCACAGCCATATAGTAGGACAGAGCGAACTACTGCACAGTGCACTCGTCCCTTAATCAGGAAACGGATATCTCGCCTACATCATAGGTGAAGGAACTTGGCAAAAGCCAAGTGAGTCTTCTGTATCAGTGCTGAGATTTCGTCAATCACCTGGCCATGAGCGCTGATGACACTCCCAAGATAAGTGAAGAGGTCTACAATCTCGACTACTTCATTAATTAGGGTTAGGGTGCCGATGCAAACCAATACTAGCAACATATTACAAGAGGCAATATTGTGCATTTTGAGGGGGAGATCCCATCGCGAACATGTTCGCATTGTTGCATAGGGTAATCAGAAGACTGCATTTTGTCTGCGTCTTCACCAAGTAGAGCTATGTCATCAGCATATTCTATGTGAACAAGCGTGTCTACCAGTAAAATGTCTTTTCCTGGAAATTCAGACGATGATAACGTTGTATCTAGCAGCATGTCTATCGAAAATTTAAACAAAAATGGAGAGAGTGGATAGCCCTGAAGAACGCCACTGGAAGTTACTAATTCCGATGACTGTTTGTCATTAGCTCTCAGTCGATCAGTGGTGATCGAGTAGAGAGCTTGTATAAGGTTAATGTACTTCTTCGGTACATATTTCAATGATAGACACTGCCACAAAACCTCACGATCGTCAGTGTCGGATGCCGCTTTAAGGTCAAGAACTACTACTACTACTTTGAGGCGTCTGAACGTGTTTATTTGTTCTGCGACCTAACGTAATGTGAATATCTGGTCCATACATCCACGTCCAAGTCGAAAATGAGCCTAGTTTCCTCGAGTCTGCTCTTCACGAGCTCTAGTTAAGCATCGGATTATTATTGATACTGTATTAGTTAAACTGATTCCTCTGTGATTGTCATAGAAGGGATTTGGTCCTCTTTTAGATCGGGACAGTCAATGATTGAGACCAGTCAGATGGTATTATGCACAGTTCCCAAATTCTACCGAAGATCTCAGTCAGTGTGACTGTTAAAATTGGACCACCATTCTTAAAAATCTCGGTGGTAATCAATTCATCAGGATCCGCTGCTCTAACTCTTCTTAGATTTCCCATAGTTTTCCCAACTGAATTTAAAGTGGAAGGACTTACATCGATTCGCCATTTCGGGTGACTTGAGATTATGGGTAACCGAGGTGTCTGAAGGTCACTTGAACTGGTTCCTGAATTGTTCTGCCCATCGATCCAATCTCCTGGGTTGAGAATGAATGATGCAGCCATCCTTTTCTGAGATAGTTTCGCTAACAGACAGATTTCTAATACCGGTTTACTTGATAAGTGTAAATAGTTGTCTACTGTTGGTTATCGCGACTGCCTTTTCCATCTCTCAAGCTTTTGCTGCCCACCAATATTCACAATCACTGCGTAGTCTTCTTATCAGCCTGTGCTTAAGCTAACTTCGCTCTTCATCATGTTCAGAGCCAGGTGGGATGAGTTTACGAGCGTCTATCAGTTCGATGGATGTTACTGAGATGCACGGCTTCTTTCCAGCCTTATGGTTTACTTTACTAGCAGATGTCACTGCTGTTTCCACAGCTTTTTGGATATCGTTTCAAGCTGCCTCCGGATGGGAATCACTGACATGGTCGCCTAACTGTCTTTCTAGTTACTCCTGAAATGTATTCCTAGCTATGCTATCATTGAGTAGAACTCTGAGAGGTTTTCTTGTTGTATCCTTCCTTCGTCCATTAAGTCGCAAACAAATACGCGCTCACACTAGAACATGATCTAAATCTAAACATGTGCACCAGAACGACTAGCAGTCCTCTATCGTACCTATCCATCGGTGTCTGATAGCGATGTGATCTAGTTGGGTCCAGCGTTGAGACGACTTTGGGTGTCGCCATGTCAGGAGTGCTTTTCCTAATGCCTAAACTTAGTGTTTGCTAGAAATAGGCGGTTGTCTGAGAATAGTCGCAATAGACGGTCGCCATTATCTGTTCTCTTGGCCGCGACACCATAAGATTCACCCAGATGTCTTTTCTTTCAACCTAGTCTACCTACGTGAGCATTAAAATCACCAGCCATTAACACTATCAAAGTGCCTAACATTTTGGAGGAGGTCCGAAAGCTTTCTCTAAAGCTCATCTTTTACCTCATCTGAATTGCAGTCAGTGGGGCCTTAGGTAGATACGACGAAGAGGCGATGGTGAGTGTCCCT